AAGTGATCTTAAAGATTCCTAAATGCATCTACTTTCGGAAGGCCAAATAAAGTGCTTTTGCTTTCGCCTAGAAACACACAGCGTCTCCCTGACATGCTGCTTCAACACTAACTGCGGTTACTGAAACCACGCCTTCTTTCTTTGCGTGCACATTTGGGCGGCATTATGCAAATATTTCCACATTGTGAGGTAGATATGTGGGGGCGTGTTAGAACGAGCCGTTTTAGGGGGGAGTGGCAGAGTCTTAACTTTGATAAAGAATATCTCTTTGGTTTTGAGACTTTAGTCTTTGCAACTTCAGGGATCTTATCTATGCACAATCAGCTTGTAACACTCCAAAGAGAAAGGAAAACTTGAAATCACATCATATGACCCCTTTAAACATTGTACACTTTTTTTCAAAGATAGTAGTGTTATTTTATTACGCTTTGAAGAAACGTGCATAATATTTTGCTCGATGCGCCCTCTTGTGGCCTCAGGAGAGAAGCCAAAAGCTTTTTTCCCCCCTAACTGAAATTATGCCTTTTAAATTCGAATATAATTCGAATTTTGATCATATTTAATTAGAAAATTTTAATTTAGTTTTTCAGTCATTTTGACAGCCCTAGTTGTAACTTAGTTCACCTTTACATCAAAACTAGGCTAGGTTGTAACTTACGAACAGCAGTGTGTTACACTTAAGCATGTAGGTCATGGTGCTACAGAACAGTGAGTCATTTGCTTACAGTAGGAGTGGAAGGAGAACTTCACTCACAGATGTAAATGTAGATGTAGCCAAAGCAAATTTACTACAGGAACAGTCCACCTGGAAACCCAAGTGCCGATAGTTCATGACTTGTTCTTCACTAGTTCCTTATCTGAACCAGCAACCATCCCATTACAAGCCCTGAGCTTTGACTGCTGCACCATAAAAGACACAATGCAAGTAAATCAGTGTGTAAATGCTGTGGAGTATTTTGGAGTGCTGTCGGGTTAGTGGGGCAGCGTGTGTGGGAGGAGAGTCCGTGTGTAGATGCGTGATGCGTGGGGGGAGCTCTATTTCAGGAAGACATGGAGCTGCCTGTGAAACACGCTGACAGAAGAGTCTGGATCAGACACTAGGTGCACTGAAATGACCACACTGCAAATCTCTGGACATTCTACACCCAAATATGCTTCTGCTGCTGTTGATAACTCGGCAAACTCTCTCTCTCTCTCTCTCTCTCTCTCTCTCTCTCTCTCT